GAAAGAATAACCAAATGCTTGGAGACCTGCAAGCCAAGGGAAGAAGTGAATTTTGGAGGAGGGTATGACCAGGTATCGCAAATGCTACCAATAAGTCAAGATGAGAACTGAGAATTGGCCACTCGATTAGCAACATGGAAGTCACTGTTCACGCTGATGAGGGCAATTTCATTTAAATGGTGGGGGCAAGAGCCTGACTGAAGTCCATTTAGGAGAGAACGGTTAGCGAGGAACTGGAGACAAGCACAGAAAACTCAAGTATTGCTCCAAAAGGCAGGGGGGAGTGGGCGGTAACTGGCGGGGGAAGTTTATTATTTAGGTTGGGGGAAATTATCGATTTGTCTGCTGAAAGAAAGATCCAGTAAAGAGGGAGGACTCTTTGTATGTTGTATGAGAAAAGCAGAGTGGCTGGAGAAGTACCCTTGAGGTGAGTGGGGGTAGGAGGTGGTGCTCAGTTGGAGACACCAGGTTTAGGTAAGCAACATGGATTATCCAGTCAGGATGTGGGACCCAAGTGTTGGTAGACGGCTGGATGTGGTTGTGGGAAGACTGTGGCAGTGCCCCGCCAATTACTTTAATTTTCTGAGTAAAGTGGGGAAGGTTATCAATTGGGTCGAGGATGAGGGAGGCGACGGAGGTTTGAGGAGAAAGGAGGTGTGAAATAGTCACCTAGTGACACGTTTTAAATCACACCAATCAGTGTAGGTGTTCATTTTGCTCAGTGGCAGGGGTTGTGGGCATGGAGAAGACAGAGTTGAGTAAACCCAGGTTTTGGTTTTGCCAAACAAGCAGGACAAAGCCAGAGAGGGCGCTGAGTGAACTGAACGCAAAGGGCTAGTTAGTGACTGAACCTTTGAAGAGGGCACGGGAGGACGAGAGGGCGCCAGGAGCTGAGCGGATAGTCACCTAAGCTCTCTAAACCTGTTTGCTTGTGTGAAAATCTTACCAGTGCTGCTGTGATGTGCACGTAGAGTGTTCGACACAGGACCAAGCGCTGAGTAAATACGTAATCAGTGTTTCTCAGATGAGGCTTCCCATCAGGATCACCTGGGGAATTTTTGCAAACACTAATATCCACAGGCCAACCACCACAAGATGGGAGTTTCTGAGGGTGAAGCCAGAGCACGACTCAGTTTACTCCCCAGGCGAGTCTAACGTACAGTCAGGGCTGCACACTTCTGCAGTAGCTCAACGATCTCCGTTAATGTTAACAGTTATTTACTGAATGTCTCATCCGGGCCAGGCAATACATCATAATATTGTCTCGTTTAAGTCCCACAACTTTTCAAGGGAGAGTTTGTGCCTAAGTCACAAAGAGTAAGCGACAGAGCCAAGGGTTTCTAGCCAGCTGTCTCCGACAGAGTCCTTTCCACTGTGAGCCTGTTCCTCCAGGAGCGGTTTCAGGAGCACTGACATCACGCGAGACGTCATTAACAAGACCGGCTTCATCGCTGACCTTGCGAACTCAGAATCCGCAGTTGAGTAAGACCCTCAGGTGATGCACACTGAAGTCTGAGAAGCCCTGAATAGGCCACACCGGCCCTCTCTCCGCCGTGTTTCCACTCCCGTGTAAGGTGGACCCAAACAAGTCGTGTCGATGGGCCAAGGGCAACATTTTAAAGAATTCTTCAGCTGATGCCAGCTGCTTGTAAGTATCGATAAATGAATTGGTTCATTAAGGCCTGAAGAAAAGTAATGAACGTCTAAAAAAGATTATTTCTGGAAATGTTTTACTTATGAAATCATATTGGAAGTCACTTAGGATTCCTTTTGGGGATATCTTTAATTTTTTAAATCGAAGGCCAGTACGGTGACTGTATGATACCCAGTAAAGTGCTCCAGGAAATGCTATTTGTATAGTGCTGCAGAGTTACCAAGTCCCTTTTTCTTATTCCTTGAAACGACCGTAAGAATTTATTATTGGGATT